CCCCAAAACCCCAAAACCCCAAAACCCCATTAAAAAATCCAAAAATTTGCATTAACTAATTTTAAATGATCAAAATTCCCCAAAACTCCAAAAAGAACTCCCTCTTCAGTCCTAAAAGAACCCTTCTCTTCAGCCCAGTAAGCTACTTACAACTCTCCTTCAACTTTCTCATAAAATTCCATTCGAATATTCATCCATCTCACTCCAGTTATTCCTGATGTTAAAATTTATGTGAAGCTTTCACGAAGAAGTCTAACTAAAAATATAGCAGCCAAGAAGAAAAATCTCCAACCGATATTTTGCCAGAAATAGTTGTAAGGATTAGCATAGCTTGGTTTTGAGATTTTGAAAAATTTGAAGTTAATTTTTATGTAGCTACAAGAAGAAAATTGTTGGATTATTGTGGCATGGAAGCAGCAGGAGGGTCAGGAAGGTCTAAACTAGCGATGGGTGGTGTTTGACAGCAAGAGATTGTATGTGGGAAATTGAGGGAGGTGCCAAAAGATAGTACTTATGCAAGAAAGCCACTCAACCAGAAAATAGATTATTTCTACTCCTCAATTGAAGCTGACTCTCATCTAAACTCCACTTCTTCAGCATCTACGTACTACACGACTAAACCTGAGGATCAAAATCAAGAATACATCTGTGGTTTAGGAGACGAAAGAAACTGGTCACTTATTGCCAAGAAAATACTTAGCAATGATTGTCAGGATTATAATCATTTTATGCAGAATTTCAACAAGAAAGCTCCAGTATTTCCTTCAGATTTATCGACCCAAAAGAGTCGTTTAAGTAATCAGGAGTTGAAAGAAGGTCTTGTAAGCCTTCAGCCTTGGCTTTTCCTCATCTTCTATAGAGCTTGAAGTATCTGATGGATCAATTACACGCGAAGTTGAGTTTGAAAAATAAGAAACTGGCACAAATTGGACCAGATGATAGCGAAAATTCTAACTTATTAATGCCTGTTCTTATAAGACCTTCAAGAACTCACGTTACTGAAGACTCAGCAGTAAGTGTATTCAAAGTAGACTATTTCCTTCCCCAATTTTTGGCCCTAAAATCTTTCTAGAGTTGGCTTCCTCTCTCAATGTGTTCATAAAAATAGGTTATTTCAGTTTTAATTTTAATTTACGCAGATTTTAGGATGAATATGAACGATGAATAACCCATATCAGAGATTACTTAAAACTTAATAAGTCTAAAAAGAAGAGGTTGACTAGGAGGAAGGGCAAGAAATACATACTCCGAGGCAGGTGAGTGCCATAACTTCCTTCTACATTTCGCGCCAGCAGTATTTTCATTAATAATCCTAATCTGATTCCTTAGTCAGTAAACCTGAAAATTCATAATTCCTTAAGGAATTTAGTTGATTTATGGCCATTTATAGATCAAAGAATAGAATAGTGTATGAAATCTCCCGTGGAGAGGTTAGAAGGAAGGTACTCCAGAAAAGAGTCCTTAGTGAATCTTAGACACTCAGATACAGTTTATCGCATACTTATCTTAAAATATTCTTATTCAGTCATTTTTCGCCAAAAGGGGTTTTGGGGTTTTGGGGTTTTGGGGTTTTGGGG